CGTCTTGCCCAAGGACACTGTAGGGGATCGAACCACCAATCTTCAGTCGAAAACCCGCTCTGTCACCTGAGCCACAGCCGCCTTTAGTTTCCGTTCAGCTGAATCATTAAACTAGTTCTTGGCAAACTCAGCAGACGCTGGTTTGCAGATTTGAGAGACTTGGACTCAACAGGGCCTGATGAGCAATAACCATAATTCTAAAATGAATTTAAATTGTACTGGCAGCCAACAGAGAGAAACCAGCGCAGGAGTGATTAGAAAACGGGCTGCAGATCCTTAACAGATTATAATGAGTTACAATAACCAAGTCATGAGGTAAAAAAAAAAGCATTTTCAAAAGATGAAATATGCAGCATCCTTGAGCTGAAGCGAACTCGCTGCACATGCTTCTGAATGTAAACGCAGAAAGCGGGAGTCAAATGCGACCTGCATTCTTAGAATACGGCTTTACATTAGAGGATAAAGATCCTCGGAGGAATAAAGATCATCGCTCACGCTGTCAGAAACACAAATATCCACGAACCTGAACACGGGAGCAGCTGGCTGGGAAGCAGAGACCCAGGTCACGCAGGCGTTGGTGGCAGCGCTATAAAGTGACAACGTGATTTAAGTCCTGTGTCGACGTAAGGTCTGTTATCTACGGCCGCTAACAGGGCCGCGGCGATACGCTCCGACAGCCGGTGACTGCAGCTCAGGAGGTAGAGCTGATAACAGGGAGGTTCAACTTCCAGCCGCACTGCGCAATTACATGAATTGTACGTGTAAGTGGCTTTTAAACGCATCTACATCGAGGACTTTTCATCTTCAAGGCTCCTGTTGGACACTGAATTGGCAGTTTCTTGTTATTAGTGGTGATATTCAGCTCTCTGAAAGGCAACGACGGGACGGACACGACTCGAAATGAGGTCGAGGGTCAGTCATCGACACACGCTTCTCTTTGTCTGAGATCAAACGTCGCAAACAAAGACAAGCTCGACCGTCCAAATCCCGCTTCTCTGTTTATTATGTTAATGATGGGCTGTGACAGAGTTTGGAACAAAGCCTTTACAGATTTATCTACATCCTAAAAGAAACTCATTATTTTATTCTTCCCCAAAGAGTCATGAAACTTGTTTGTTTGCTTTCTGAGGTGTTACCGGAGCTGCTTTGTTGTCACCACCATCCATTTTTTTAATTCCTCCCCCTCCACCTCCCCCCAAGCTCCTCGATTTCCTTTGAGGAATACGTCGCGCAACAATAGACATCGACTGTGTTCCAAATCCAGACTACAAGCCAATTTGGAGCGTTTTCTGAGTTTGTTTATGAGCTGGAAATACGCCAACATTAAGTGCTCTGAAAAAAGTCTGCATGCATTTTAAAAAAGTGCCTGATTTTGTCAGTGTGAGCCAGAAAAATCATGAGAAACAAAAAACCAGTTTGGATAACATTTTTAATTTCTCTTTGTGAAGTTTTAATTGAATTCAAAGATGCAGCTTGATTGGCGTCGACTGTATAATTACGATCGAACAAAGCGTGAACGTTCTGGTATAAAAACTAGAGTCTGTTTGCCTAAAAACGGGATCAAGCAAACAACCTCAGAAGATTTGAGCAAATTTGAATTGTACCTAACAACAAAATCCACTGGCAGGTTTTAAAGACATGCGGTTCTTTTTAAGAATTGCCAAAATTACCCCGTTTATCAGCTGTACTGTCTGCACTTTCCAATGGTTCTCTGACGACACATCAACAGAAAAAAATTAAGCAAATCAAAGTTTAAAATTGTAATATTTCATCAGAATCACTTTATATGTCTGATTTTTTAAAAATCTGGCAAAAAAAATAAACTGTTTGCTGCAACCAGACAAGTTCTGCACTCTTCAGAGACTTTTCGGCTGAACTGCAGGCAGTGTTCACACAAACATGGTGGGAACGTTTGTCCAGCGTTGGTAACACCTGTGGGCATTTTTTTTTTTAAATAATCAAACAAACTCAGCTTTCATTTTTTATAATTAATGGCGTTATAAATGGAGCTTCGCGTTAGTTCAGACAGGCACGGAGTCAGGCGGTCACATGGCCCCTCCTGTCCAATCGTCATCGCTAAAGTCCAGCCCACCCACTTAGCGTGCTTTATAACTGAGGCAGCGTTCATTCATTCTGCCCGCTTCACGCTCACCACATCGCTGCTACTCCAGCCTCTGCAGTTCATCAAATCTCCTCCTCCACCTTTTAAAAACAGTTCAGTCTCATATAACCCCGGTGTTTCCCATATCGTGGGACTGCAGGTTGCAGATGGTTCATTATTGTACCTTGAACTATGTAATCTAGATTCTGTAAGTGAAGACTATTTAGTTGGTCTCGTGTTCATACCGTATTTGAAAAGTTGTAAATTGTAAATTCATGGCTCTGCGGGGGTTTGTGATCTCAGGGATTATCTGTGTCATGCTTCCAGAGCATCACGAGCAGAGTCACCGCCAAACTAAATGTATGTGATCTCAAATAAANCCCTAAGTCGGCTGGGATAGGCTCCAGCCCCCCCGCGACCCTAATGAGGATTAAGCGGTGTATAGAAAATGGATGGATGGATGGATAATCAAACAAACTCCGCTTTCATTTTTTTTATAATTAATGCCGTTATAAATGGAGCTTCGCGTTAGTTCAGACAGGCACGGAGTCAGGAGGTCACATGGCCCCTCCTGGCCAATCGTCATCGCTGAAGTCCAGTCCGCCCACTTAGCTGCTTTATAACTGAGGCAGCGCTCATTCATTCTGCCCGCTTCACCACATCGCTGCTACTCCAGCCTCTGCAGATCGTCAAATCTCCTCCTCCACCTTTTAAAAACAGTTCAATCTCATATAACCCCGGTGTTTCCCATATCGTGGGATTGTAGGTTGCAGATGGTTCATTATTGTACCTTGAACTATGTAATCTAGATTCTGTAAGTGAAGACTATTTAGTTAGTCTCCTGTTCTCGTGTTCATACCGTATTTGAAAAATTGTAAATTGTAAATTCATGGCTCTTCGGGGGTTTGTGATCTCAGGGATTATCTGTGTCATGCTTCCAGAGCATCACGAGCAGAGTCACCGCCAAACTAAATGTATGTGATCTCAAATAAATGGTTAAAATCTGACAAAGTGTCCTGTCTGAACCATTTTTGAGTTCTCTCTCCTTCTAGTCATGCTTGTGCTGTTTCCATAGAGGTGCAGGACTTCACACTGCAGTGAAAAATCAGCACACAGTGAGTAAAAATGTAAGAGGGGCAAAGAAAAAAACCTGCCTGGGATTCAGAGGGTTAAATATGTAAAGCACAGCTGCATAGATTTTGCATTTGTAAGTTTCTTGGCTTGTTATTGTCTTTAATAACACTCTGTGGTCCTGCTCTCTGCCTCTATTTCACCTCCTCCTGACTTAAACTAGCCTGATGGTCTTTACTGTCGTCTCATTTATATGATCATAACCCCTCTTCTAATTCTCCTCCAGTTTAATTTCCTCAGCTCCGTCCAGAAATGACGGAGCTTCCTGACACGCCGTCTGAATTACTGGCTGAGAGATGGTTACACGGTCTGCTGGTGAATCACTCAGTGCCGACGCTGCGTTCCTCTTGATCAAGTAAGCAAGTCGAAGCCGAGGCGTCTCCTCGGCTGCTTGCGGCAAACTGGGTAATTAGAGTTGTGTTCGATCACTGTTCCATCTACGCCCGGGCTGATGATTATCCCTGCACCATGCAGCAGGCGCTGACAGTAAACCAGTGAACACGCGCACAAATTACAGGGTAAAGGCAGACGAGCTGCTGCAGAGAAAGTGTTCTGGGAGTGAGTTACACCGCTGTGGTCTTTGAGACACAATAAACGCATTTCACACGGATAAGCAAAGAAAGTAAATTGACAAAGTTTATTCCTACCTTGCATGGGTAAGCAAGTGGTATCACAGTCTACTAGCTCAACATAATGACAGCAGTTACTCACTGCTCTGCCTCTGATTACATTAAATGTGTTGCTGCTGTCTTTCAGGCTAATTTAAAGCGGTAACCATGGACACTCCTCAACACCTAAATATATGCAGTCAAGTTTGAGACAACAACAAAAAAAAACAGGCGCAGACACAAGCGTATGGACGAACCTCTCTGGCAGCAGCATTATGTCCTGTAATGAGATTCTTCCCTCCCTAATCCCACGCCTCTATCTGTGCTTTGTGGGCCTTTCGGAACGGCTGAGCCAAGCCGAACACGGACGCTCGACATGAAATTCAGCGTTAACCCCGCCGTCCTGAATGAAAGCGAGACAATGGAGCCCAAATGGAAAGGATGCTACGCCTATTACCGAACATGTTAATCCTCTTAAGAAGTTGAGAGGTCTTGATGACATGCGGGAGAGGCAGGAGTATACGGAGCTGTGGGGAAATGAGCAGCGACTACTGTGAGAAATGAGGTTCACCCTAAACAATAGCAGGCCTCCCAGCCTCGCTCTCCAGTCATTAACCTGCGACTCTCTTCGGGGAATTGACAGAGAAAAGGAACAACCGAGCGAGCGTGTCTTTAAATTGCATCGTGCAGGTTAACGTCCGGCAAACAATGACGATAAATCTCCCAAAACATTTTCACTGATCTGCAGCTTGAACCGGGTTGCTGCCAAGACGCTGTCAGAGAAGTTGTGAGACCAGCTGCTTCCAGGGTGTTTAGAAAGACTGCCAGAATCATGTTACCTCATTAACCAGATTTTCCCCAGACCAGCATTTGGCTTATGTCTATAACCCAGGCAGCGCATCCTTCTGAGGCTCCTCGTAAGAGCTCATTTAAAAAAATGGCCTCCGGTGCCGTGTAGAACCTCTTTAGAGGCAAAGCGAAGCAACTCACTTTGATGAAGCCTCATGAAAGGAAGGATATAAAATGAAAAAAAAAAAAAAAGCCACGAAGCAATGAGCAGACCGTCGTTATGAGCAGAGCCGTGGATGTCAGAGAGGATTGCGTCTGTCGAGAGTGATGAGCTGCCAGAAGAGAAACAGGATGAGCGCAGTTTGACTCACCTGTCTTTTCCCGTCTCCTTCTTGAAGACCATGTCGCAGTAGTTCATCCGGTCCTCCGTGGTGACGTAGATGCGAGCATTGGGGTAGTTTTCGGACGCCTGTCGCAGCATGTTGTACACGATGCCCTTCCCGTCCTTCCTCATGTTTCGCAGAGGCCCCCACACCACGTACACGGTGTCGTTGCCCTGGCCGAAGAAGTACTGGGGCTTCTGCAGCAGCAGGGGGACGCTGGTGTGCGACACCACCCTCAGAGTGGTCCGGTGGCCCACGTCGCGCTCGAATCCCCGCGTCGGCGCGTTGTTCATCCGCCAGATGCAGGGCGAGCGGTCGATCTGCGGGCCGGCGGCCTGGCCGAGCATCTGGCCGGAGCTGGACACGATGCTGCACAGCTCACAGTGGAGCTTCAGGGGCTGCAGAGGAGAACAAAACCCAGGTACAAGAATATTTAACCAACTCTGAAGCTAAAGTCTGCTGTTGTTTCTTGATTTTCTGCTTCCTACAGGGACATGAGAGGTTAGATTTGAGGGTCAGCAACAGAAAAGGCTCTCAGTCTTCACCAAAACTTTACACAGGTAAAACCCTCTTGTGTTTTTTTACCTTGTTAACATGCACATATGCTGTTTTTAATACGCTAGAAGACATGATGAGTGAAACAAGCAGCCATGGTGGAGCATTTCCACTTGAAAGCTGGATTCAAACATCCAGGATTTCACAAACCTGAAGAACCAATCCTGTATCACTATTCTTCTTTAGAATCAGCTTCTGGTTCAAACACGTATGACGGATTTACTCAAATATCCCGACTTAGCATTGTGTAGCATTTATGTAACTTTTATGTAACATTTTCAATTAGTTTCACTAAATAATTGATTCATTGACTTACTAAGAGCACATCTCTTGTTGAACATAGCTTGCAAATGCTAACTGTAAACATGTAGGAAGTATTATGATGAAATGTGTCATGGCAGCTACAAACTAAATACACAAACCATCAAACATGGTGGCCTGCAAGGTGGCTCTGTGGTTAACAACGTCCAGTCACAGCTAGAAGATCCCCGGTTTACATCCCAGTGAGGACACCTGGGATCTTTCTGCATGGAGTTTGATTGTTCCCAAGGTCCAAAAAGAGTTTAATTGGTGATTCCAAATTGTCCGTAGGTGTGAATGTGAGTGTGCTTGGTTGTCTGTCTCTAAGTGTAGCCCTGTGATAGACTGGTTACCTGTCCAGGTGAACCTGCCTTCACCCTGAGTCAGCTGGGATAGACTCCAGCCCCCCATGACCCTAGTGAGGATTAAGCGGTGTATAGATGATGGATGGATGGATAAAACATGGCAAACAAATGGTGAAAAAGGTAAAATAATGGTTTGGTTTCAGTGATCGAGGCACACTAGCAAACTTACCAAAGTGACTAAAAGCTGATTATAAGATGTCATAAAAGTTTTGGTTTTAAAGACCTCCTCCAGTAAAAGTTTCTCACCCTGCTAACGTGCACATATGGTGTTTTTTTCAAAATGTTAAACGACACATCATGAGCCAAAAAAAGCACCATAGCTGAGCATTTCTTCCTTAAAGCTGAAGCTTACTATTGACATTCTCAAAAACACAGATTCAGACTTCCAGCAGCTGTCAGCATCTCTCTGCCTCCACCTTCTCTCTGACCAGGTGTGTCTCAGGCAGGACGTCTCCACCAGCCTCCTCCTCTCTTCTCATTTTGCCTATTAAGACAATCAGCCGTGGGCCACTTCTTCTTAGGAACATGGTAACAGGCAAATGGATGAGACTGACTGAGCCAGTTTCAAACACAACTGCTCACAAAACAGCATAATGTCTGTTATACATTTGCACAAATGCAAATTATAACAGTCTCAAAAACGGTTGTATATCTGATTTTTGTTTGGAGCCCTGAGGACAATGTTATTATGCAGATAGCAAGTAAAGATCCAAGTTTGTGAACTTGAACAAATGACCATAATACCATTATAGTAATAGACAGTTAGACATGAACAATCCGTCTTCTTTGTTTGGGATTCATGTAAAAAAAAAAGCATCTTTGGATTTAAAACAGAAGTTTAGTTTCAAATAAGTGTCTAGTTTATTTTATTTTGTCACTAAATTGTGTGATTTATGTTTAGAAAGAAAAGAATCTTCATTTTTCTTCTCTAACTTGTGAAAAATGATCAACAGTAGGAAGACAAAAAAATCACATTAAGACCTTGGCTTTTATAAAGTTTGTCTCGTTCTTTTACTTTGACATCATGTAATTAAATTAGTTATTTTTTAATCCTGAATAAGTGGTTTTGTTCTGAGATATACTGCAGTCGATGTTTCATCTTATAATCGTGATATACTTTATATGTGTTCAATAACAATATTAAAGTGAAGTTTTGGCAAGAGGCTCGTGTGGTCAGAACATTAAATAAAATGCATTTGGTAATTATTAATAATAAAAATATAAAAAAACACCCATCAGAGTTTTACTGGCCTCTATAATTTTCTTTTATTTGAAGTCACACTGGCCCAGAACTAACATAGATTAAGTTAATTGAATTTGGGACCTGAGAGGTTATAGCTGCGACAGTGCAGAGCGGAGAGGCAAGGAAGTGGCATCATTTGTCTTACTGTATATTTTTTTATACATCTTATTATACTTCAGTGGAGCAGCAAGGATTTGTAATGTATCTTCAATAAGAGCTCTTAGCTTCGCTCTGCCAGGAGGGGGAAGAAAGCCCTGTCTGAATCAGAAATGGGAGATTTAACTAATTGGAGCTAATATGCTTGGTTTGTTTTGATGAGATTAAACTTACTTAAGTGAATGAAAGCAAGACAAAGTTAGAAAAGAAAAAGCACTGTGTCATGACTAAGCTCCGTTCATCATTTGCTTAATGGAGAATAACTGTAATGTCACTGGTTTGAATACAAATTGTGTTTTTGCTGCAGCCTGACAGCGAACGTAAACTCTCTCTTGCGTGTTCTGCGTTTAATCAACAACCGAGGGGAGTTTTAGTGAGCGAACAGGATCCCACGAGGCGGCCCTGCAAATTCTTTGACACCAACTTAAACTCATTGCTGTGTTTACGCAAGATCAACACAAAAACAGTGCAGATTTTCCTTCTTTTAACACATAATTCTTGCATAAATGACTCCAGCTGAGCTTTTTTTTCTGCCATGTATGGATTCAATCATGGGTTAAGAAATGATCTCTGGACCCGGGCTGGTAACTCTCCATTTGTTGGCTGGTTGAGACACACATCAGCGCGGCCTTGAGCTGTCAGCAGCTCGTCCATCACGGCGTTCTCCCCACGCAGCCCGGCTCATAACTCCATCACGCCTTTCAGCACACACAGATTGGCCGGGCTCCGTGGGGAACACTGGCTGGCTAACTGCATGTGACACATACGGGGTTGCACGAGTGGAAACCTGCTGCCGAGGAGCCCCTGAGCAAAGCTTTTAACCTGCTGCAGAGCTGCTCAGTTGCAAAAAGCAGCCGACTGGGACATAACTCCAACTATATAAAGCAGAAAACTGATTAAAAGAGCGCTTTCCTGCAGTAAAAAGAATAAAAACAGCCACGTGAGAGTTTTACAGCCACACAAATATAAATAAACAGCAGTGAACATTATTGCTTCCCTTAACAGGAAGTGTGTAAAACCTCATCCAGGAGCTAAAAACCCTACACTTCTATTAAGCATGTGCTGGAATCCAGCTCCCAGCAAACCCCTGAATTTACGTCCTGTAAATCAATAAAAAGTTATGGCCTCCTCAGCTGTGATTCATGTTTCAGTTTCATGTCCACGGCGGCGTCGTTTGAGCGTAGCGTGCAGTAATCGCAAACAGAGTGCACTTTTATAATCCCAATAATTCTGGCGCTCTGATAAGAACAAAATCTACTCTGCAAAGCCTCAGATTTGAATGCATGAGTGTGTTAAAAAATAAAAGAGGGTTATTTAGAAAAGCAGCCTTAATGCCGCGGACACAGCTATCATTAAATTGTAGCACTGGGGTGTGAACTTAACCTTGACGTTCATTAAGATGCTCTGAACACGATTAATTAATAAGCAATAATTATTACATTAACATGCCAGGTATCTCAGTGTAAGACGCCTCCCTGGGACCTGGAAGTCCTTCTGCTTAAAAATTAATTGATTAGCTTTAGCTGTCTGTGTGGAGGAAACTGATTAATTCCAAATGCTCCTCTGAGGGAACTCGCATTGTACTAGCACTAAACTTCTAAATATTAGTTCATTCTTTCATTTATTGTAAATGCCTGCAAAAATTAATGACACATTAGCAAATGTTAGCATGCTAACAGGCTAAACTGAGGTCGTAAACATTACTGCTGCTAGCATTGTCACTGCAAGCGTGCTAGCATTTAGCCTGAAGCTTCACAGAGCTGCTAGCACGGTGCTCGACTCTTTGTCTTGATCTTGTGTTTTTGGTTTTAAACTTTTAAAGCATTTTAAACCAGGAGTGAGACTTAACAATGAACATCACCAGCTAAACGTTGAAGCACACAAATAGGGTTTGTGTGGAGGAGTGTTATGACCTTTGTGTTGTGTTGTGAATTAATTCCCTTAGAAATTTTCTCCTTTTATTGTCTTTTAAAACTGAATCGTGGTCAACTTAATTTGGCTTTTTTTTTTTTTTTTTTAAAGATTTTACAAAATAAGTCATGTATGTTCACTTTGACACGAAAGAGTCTTCTTTTCAGGGTTAACTGATACGGTTACTTTAGGGCTGATGTCAATACCAGTTATAAGTGGTTGTGGGGATCAATAACTAATATTTGGAACCAATATACATTTGCAAAAAAATGAAAACTCCAACACAAAACTTTGCTGCAATGCCTTATTTGTTTATGTTTTGCATATGTTAAATTTTAAAAAAGTAACTTTTCAACATTTAACCTTCAGTGTTGATTGGCTGTCACTTGATTTGTGGAACCAATCAGATAAAGCTGTGGGTGGGACATAACTCCAGATGACAGAGTGACTACAGACAGACAGCTAAAGTAATTTATTATATCAAGAACCTGTCAATAAATACTAATAACAGATCGGATTCTATTTTACACCCAGTTAGAGACAGGTAACTGAAATGTCGCTCAGTGAAAAAACTAACAAATGACGTAAGTCCCTCGTTAATCTAATATGAACAGTAAACATCACTAACTCTGAAACATATATTACACGTGTGCATGTGTCAAGAAAACCAACTTTACTTAGATTAACAAAGGTTTGGTAGGAACTTTCTAAAGAAGGAAAGGCACGCACATCCCCGAGGCCCACTGGGTTGGGTGCTGGATCACAAAATGTCAAGAATGAGAAAAGAAGAGAAGAACGATCCGCACACCAAAAACAGGCTCCCTTATACAATTTATTGGCGTGACGTTTCGAGCAAAATGCTTTTCCTCAGACTGCTAACCATTAGACTGAGGCCGCCATCTTAAGTACCCATAGTGCACAGCATTCATCACGTGGTACATTGGCAGGTAAACAGTACTTTGAAATGTATGCAATCATGTATAGAAAAATATTTTTACAAAAAATGAATGAATAAACATATGTGAGAAAAAATATACATATATGTGAGAAAAAAATATATATATTTTTTATTTTTTTTTGGTGTGCGGATCGTTCTTTTCTTCTTTTCTCATTGGTAGGAACATTCAACAAACCATTTAACCTTCTAAATCTGTTATTTTCAATGGAGATGACCTCCTGTTCACATAGATGCTTTTGATCAAACAGAGCTGCACGTTTCCGTCCTTCAAACAGATGTCTAACTAGTTAAAACCGGTTTTAACACTTCAACCCAGTTTCTGTTTTTTGAAACCAGCGAGTAGCTAATAATAGCTTAGAGAGGACTTTATGAATACAATAATAAGAGTTATATGACCAGCAGTTGCCACACAGTCCAGAACCAGAGGACACCTCATCAACATTATCCACAATGATCCCGAAATAGAAGCACTTTCACATCGTGTCGGCCGTTGTGCACTTTTCAAAGGGCCCGACTTCAGAATGTTGAGGTCCAAATGAAAATATTGAATTTCTTTCTCGGCCGGCAATAGACCAGAGGCATGAATGTAAAGTGCCACAAGACAAATGTTTTCTATTTCTCCTGAAGAGCAGAGCAGGAACAATTTATCACACCTGCAGACAGACTCAATCAAATGAGGAAAATAAGGCTCACCGTTCCCGTGCTGCCGGGTTATGCATTATATATGCTTGCAAGAGGTTTATAACACCTCAAATGACACCTCGCTGCGGATGGTGCAAGATTGCCTTACTGTCCAGGAGAAATATTACTGCTTCTTAAGGTGTTGCTGTGTGCTTAACGGAGGCTGACAGCTCGCACAGCCGGCCTTCACTCCGGACGTTATCACTTACGACACGCGGCACAGGAGTATCACCTTGACCAGACCTTCCCAATTGTGTCCATCTTTTGCCAGAAAATTTCAGGAGCACGCAAACCACTTCTGACACTCGTGTTCGGGCCAATCGCTGCCCTTTTCTCTTTCACTACAGAGAGCTCAGGAGTGGGGCGGAATCCGAGCCAAAAAGAGGCCTAAATCTGCAGAAGCTGCCAGTCTTTACCCTGATTTGCATAAATCTCCACGGGGAGAGGGCAGTGATTTAAGCAGGCTTGTCTGGAGGCAGAAGGAGGAGCACACGTAGAGATTGCTGTAAGGCGTGATTGCCTCTGGGCCCGTGTTGTGTGGATGAAACTCTCCGGAGGCAGAGGATGACGCCCCACATTAATCTGCCAATATCAGCCCCGCAGAATATAAGGCATCCACTTCTCGTGAAGGACCAACGCATCCATTGCAACTCCAGATCTAGACTCCAAACTGAAAGCAGAACGAGTGAATCCTTCATTCCCCCGTCAGCCGGAAATGTTGCATGCGGCTCTGCTCGCAAAATATCCGATTTTGTTGTACGGCTCCACCAGTATGAGCACAGTTTGAGCAGGCTGCCTCCCCAAACAACAAACACACAGCTTGGTTTTTACATTTTGATGTGGTGGGAATTAAAAGGCTTTGATATTTCAATTTCCATAAATTGTGCGGGGAATATACAGCACAGAGCTGTTTGAAGGCAGAAGAATGGGATCACGGACATGGGTGTTTGGAGTTACAAAGAAATAATGCACACGAGAGACATCAAACAGCCGTTTTCAGATCCATCAAAGAGAACCTGATATAATGAATTAAGAAAATCCTTAAGGAGGTGCAGCGCTTGCAGAGTGTAACTGAATGCGCCGTCATTACGGAGGTGAAGTTGTGTGGTGACGGGTTAATGCTAATGGATGTATGCATCATAAAAGAAAAGGTTGCTCGTGTGTGACGCAAGTTGTGACACCCACAATGTAATATGACAAATGTAAAAAAAAACATAGCACGAGAAGCTGCTGCTTCATCTGGAGACTGCAGCGGAGACGTGATTCACAAAGTAAGATGTATGTGAGGAAAAAAGAAAACATCCTTCACAGTTCACAAAATGTACTCTGCAGACTGTTGAATACATTAAAGCTCATTGATTAAACTCCTACAAACTCAAGTCTGTGCATCAAAGTCGCTTTTTTTTTTAAAGTTTTGTCCATGAAAATAATCTTTTCCTTCCATGGCTCAGATGTGACTTCACACTGCTATTCCTGTGCAGACTTATAAAGCAGCGCTGTTTCTTTAAACCCACCCTGCAGCTCGAGCACACCAGCTCACACTGTAAAGCTACTACGCAACGGCAACTTGTAATGTTGGAGAAAAATAATGACACAGAATTGGTTCCTTAAGTTTGTTACATATGAAACCTTGGCAGTCTGAATCTGCATTTTCAAGTTTTGTCATCAGTACCATAGACTGTATAAAAGATGGACGTAGCAACCGGCCCTGAAAAATGAAGCCAACCCGGAAGTGTCAAAAACCTGCAATATCACTACGTCCACTAGCTGCTGGCTCCACAAAGCCCTGGCTCCCATAGACTGGAATTGGAAAAGAAGTGATCACAGATCATGAAATATTGCATTCCTACAGCTCAGGATTTTTTTAAAATTAGTTTTCATGGTCAAGTCCAGAGATCAGGTGGCCAATCTGAAAATAAATCAATATTGAATTTTTAAAAAATCGTCAACATTTTGCGGGGCAAGGGGCGTGGCTGGCTTGATTGACAGTTGGCAGCGACCATACAGACGAAGCGAGCAGAAGGCGGTAAATGTGGGCGGGCAGAGAGGGCCCGCCTCTCAATCCGTCTGACCAATCGCTGCTCCTATGGCTCCGCCCCCCTCCGACGATTTTTGCGTCACTGGCTCCAAAAATCCAAGATGTCAACCAGGAAGTAGCAAAACCCTGGCTTCATTTTCTCAGTGCAGAAACCAACGGGTGACGTCACGGTAGCTACGTCCATCTTTTATACAGTCTATGGTCAGTACTCTGCAGTTTTAAGGTGGAAATGCTCATTTATGGTGTTGACTACTTATTTCACTCATGATGTGTCTTCTAGCGTGTAAAAAACGTCATATGAACAAACCAACCCAGCAAAACTTATAGGCTTAAGGATCCTTTAATCTAAGCTTTAAGTCTCTTTGTTAAGCTTCCTAGTGTGAACTTGAACCCTGACATGAGACCATTTTTTACCTTTTATTTGTCAACTTTTTTGGTTTTATGTATTTAATTTTCAGATTTTAGCTGTAATGTTGTATTTAATCACATACCTACTACATATTACATTTAGCCTTCGCAAACCACATTCAACAAGAGCAAGTTTTCTCCGTACAATTAAACGTTTTGTCTACTTAGCCAACCAGGTGACGGCCTCCGTAAATTGCCACTTATTTACAACGACAAATTCAAGTAACTTATGATGACTTTTGCACTGCTTCATTTGTTTTCCCACTTGCGCACCAGACAACAAGCTGTAAATACAACGCTGTCATATTACTCCTAATTGAGTCGACACAGCCAACTTGCTGGCAAACAGGTGCTATTAACACATCCAGCAGACACGGAACAAGATTAGCATTGATTTGGAGTCAATGTGCAGGCAAAGTAATCAGTCTGTTGTTAGCTCCAGTTTGGTCCTCGCCAACTCCTGAAGGGAATTTAACACTTTTTAGCTGCTAAATGTTCCACTATGTTAACTAAGTTTTGTTGGGCAGCAGAAAGTCGGTTTATGGAAACTTTTTCACTGAACATGTGAGAGCTGTGGGTCACAAAAAAAAAAAAACACAAAATAATGAGGCGAAACACTTTGGAGAGAGAAAATTCTCAGTGGGTTTGTTAACATTAGTTTGAAACTGCACACAGTTACTGGATAATAAAACTGCCATCTCACACTCAGCTTTGGAGATGACAATTTCAAGAAGTTGTTTCTGATAGCGAGCGTCTTTGCTGGTACGTGTTGGTCGCTCACCTCCTGTTTGGGGATGCTGACGTAGCCCAGGTGAGGTTTGAAGGCCTTGTACGGCTGCTTGGAGAACATCCAGTGGCTGCTGAACGTCTGGCCGAACACCGGCTGCAGGAGGAAGTAGGGCTTCTCCGAGTAGTTCACCACGACCACGAAGAGCGAGACGGCCACGATCAGACTGGTGGCGATCAGCGACTTCCTCTGTGGACGGACAGAGAACGAGTTCACGACAAGTCCGACTAGTGCACAATCAGACAGAAAATCCAAAATGCGGTCTTTTCGGTGGTTTGACTGGTTAACAGAGGCCTTTGCAGTTCCTTCACAAATACTGCATAAAACAACAATAATTACACACAAGCAAATGTACAATCTAAAATAAGACAGAAGAGACTTTAGTACACATTAAAACACAAACTGTACATGTAAAGGTGCAGCATCATTTACGCAATTGTGCTTTTGGGAGGAAGTAATACATGGAGCTTAATGGAAAAAGCATCTTCAACATTTAGTATCACTGAGCTGAAAGGAGGCAGCGCAGTGAAAACTATTTAAACCAACAGTGGCGTGATGTTTTTCAGCAAAGTTCAATGTTTCAAAAAACTGTAAAATCAAATCTTCAGCTTTATTTGTTTGTATTTTATGGAGAATCAAAGTGGCAGGTTTAACTCCAGTTTTTTAGTTAACAGAAAAAACAAAAAAATCAATGTTTTATGGTTACTAATATATAGAAAATATATTAGAATATAACACAATAAACGCACTGCATTGATCAGACACATTTTTTTCAGAATTTTGTTAATGGGTTATTCCATCTCCAAATCATCAAAGGCCTTCAATCATAAACTCTTGATATTTAAAATTAGAATTGGATGAGAGAAAACTGAGAATTCCCGGCTTTTATCTTGAATCGGTCCTGACATATTTGTTTAAACATAGCCTCAACTTTCAATATACGGAAAAGTGTGTGTATATTAGGTTGAGTGGTCATTTAAAAAAATAAATAAATAAAAAAAATCTCTCTAATAGTAAATAGTCTGCACTTACATAGCGCTTCTCTACCTTGGTGCTACTCAAAGCGCTTTATAAAGTTTCTCATTCACCCATTCATACACCAATGACGACAGAGCTGCCATGCAAGGTGCTGCCTGCCATTGGAGCAACTTCAGGTTCAGTGTCGTGCCCGAGGACACTTGGAGTGTGGAGGGGCGGAGGATCCAACCACCGACCTTGCAATCAGAGGACAACCTGCTCCACCACCTGAGCCACAGCCGACCCCAGTATTTCATATGTCAAGCTAAAACTTCTTCATAAACATCCGTATACACATAGCCATATTTTCTGAGCAGAAATACTTAGAAAAACCTGATGATCTGAGATGAAATGACGTATTTCTTCGATTTCGTCGGCTGTTTTCATATCCAGTCCTACACGTCGCCTCACAAGGACACAGTCTGCTTGTTTTACTGTCTGACAGTAACCACGGTAACCATCCAAACAGGTGATTTAATTGTGTTTTAGAAATCATCTCAGTTCATATCAGGATTACATCTATACTAAAACACTTTTTTTGCGTTGAGTCGTAGGACCCTTTTGGAAATGCTGCTGATCCCATTTCAGTTTAAAAACTCTTATTCTGGATGGGTAGAAACTGACAATTTTCATTACTTTCTCGGGCCTTAACTGTCACTGTGTGCTGTTCTCAGATTCATTAGGCTTGACTGCCAGTAGTTAATTCAACCTGGATAAATTACATCCGCTGCTTGAATGGTTTAGTGATGCAGCATTTCCAGAACCCCCCAAAAAAAGCCCAACTACAAGCTGCGGTGTCAGAAAATGTACACTCTAAAGAAGAAAATGACACGAATGTGGCCTATAAATACACATTTGAGGTTAATTTCAACAAACAAGTTCATCAAAACTCTGAGAGAAGCTTAGTTTTTATGATACATGTGACAGTTTTAGACAATCTAAAGCTATAAATATATATTCACAGTCTTTCTGAGTAAAAACCCAAACAGGACAAGTGAGAATTCATAACAGTGCATCTCACGAGTCGCAATTCGATTTCCAGAGTCCTTGTTCTGCGAGAAGATACTTCCTGAGCAGCAGAGCAACTTTACAATACAAAGACAGTGTTTAATTCAATCACTATATTTTCGATCCAAGGCCGATGACTCACAGTAACCTCTTCCCTTCACTTCAAATGTATCGGCAACGGAAAGATCTCTCTGAAGTCGTCCTTCTCCTTAGATAGTCAATTTGCAGAGATTAACACTTAATCTCTGCTCGTTGACACAGTTTCTTTCTGATGCGATCGACTCGTCACGCTTTCAAACAGCTCAGTCGGCTCTTGGCAAACTGTCATCTGTGTTTTAGCAGCAGCAGAGCTCGAGGAATAGAAGCCATTAGGTCCGACGGTTTGGTCCAGACTGAAATTATGATCGATGCATTTCCAAGAAATTATATACAGATATTCGCTGTCCCCAGAGGATAAATCCTAGTAACTGTGATTTGTCGTTTAGTGCCACCACCAGAACAAAAAGTGAAATATGTTGGCAACTAAAGGATGAACTGGCAATACTTTTGTGAACAGACATTCATGGTCCCCACAGGATAAATCCACCCTACTTTGGCTATCCCTTGGGAGGCTGAACTTTGAGGTTCGGAGTGAAATATCTCGTCAACTAAAGGATGAATGATAAAGAAATTATACATAGATATTGTACTTAACTTTGCTATCCCTAGACTTTTTATTCCATGTGAAAAAAAGTGAAATATTTTCACGACAGGACGATTTGCAAAGAAATTGTTTATGGTCTCCAGAGGATGAGTCCTCCTCACTTTGGCTATTTATTGACAGGCTGAAGTTTCTTGAACAGAATAAAATATTTTGACAACTAAATGATGCCTAGTTATGTTTGCTATCCCTAGACTTAGTTGTAGCGCCACCAGCAGATTGAAAGATGAAACATTTTGACAGCCAGAAGATAAACTGCCCCAAAAACATTTGAATAAACATGTATGGTCCCCAGATGATAAATCCTTCTTACTTTGGCTATCCCTCGAAAGGCTAAGTCCTGGTTCAAAGTAAATTTTATGACAACTTAAGTATGAATTGGCATAACATTTCTACGTACACATTGGTGGTCCCCAGAGGATGAATCCTTATCACTTTAGTTGTCCCTTGACAGGCAAAAGTTTGTTTTTCAGAGTGAAATGCCTCATCTACTGAAGGATGAATTACTATTATATTGATATTACACAAATATTTGAGGTCCCAAGAGGACAAATCCTACAGATTTTAATAATTTTTTTAACCTGCTGGTGGCTTTGGAGGAAAAATTGAATTTCTTACTGAATAATGTGAATCTCTCTTTACATAGTTGTATGTCTGGTTCAAACATTGATGGTTCCCAGATGGCATTGATATTTTAACCTTGACAGTTTTCAGATTTTTCCATTTTATTTCCAAATACCTGTAAAACAATGACATTCAGCCACAGATTTAAATTAAAATGTGATCTCCGTACTTGCTAAACATCAGCATATTAACACTGACGGCTTAGGTACTGAATGATGAGTAATTAAATAGCAAAAACATTTTACTTGTATCAAAACTGTAAAGTCAACGGGGATCATGAGCAAACTAAACCATTTGATTAATGTGATTTTTTTTGGCCTCTGAATAATTCAATGATTTACCCTCATGACTTAGAGTAATACTGTTGGGCTAAACTGCATAAACTTTATGTGCTGGAAAAAGATTTGTTTGATTGGCCTCGGTCCAACTTTTCAATACACTCCACATCCTGCCAGTATATGATATAAATATTCATCAATATGTGTTTATAGATAAATATATGGTGCTGCCACTCAACCATAGCCTTTTAGAAACGTCTT